CTGAAGTAACTCCCATTAGTATAAGCTTCCCTGGCAGCAGAGCCATGGCCCCATAGAAGCAACTGCTACTGACTTCAGTTCTGCTGGAGGCTATAGAAGGGGCAGAGCCTAGGCCTATCTGCTTTGCTGAGGTCCTTGCTATCTTCATTTTCTGTGTTCACATGTCTCTCATTGGTATCAGGGCCCAGCTGGCCCCAGGCAAAGCTTCTGTGGTCGGAAAAACTCCATTTTCCACCTTGTTCTGGTTCCAGAGAACCAAAGGGAACCAGGTGGTGTGAGAGGCTTCATCCTACCAAGGGCTGTTAGTGCTGTCCCCTCCTAGTCACAAATGCTGGTGTGGTAGCTTCCTGCAGAGCAGGGAGGGCTCTGGGACTCCCCAGTCCTCCTGCAGTCTGCCTGCAGCTTTGGTTGAAAGAACATAGCTGATTCGTTCTCTAAGCCCTGGTTCAGTGGGTCAAACGGAAGCCCCAGGGGCTGGTGTGTTGTTGTTTCTGTTGGTGGTCTTCACTGCTCTCCATTAGTGGAAACCCCTGCCAATCTATCCTTCCAGGCTCTAGGGAAGGATGAACAGCAGCCTCCAGAGACTAGTGGTTTCTAGAGGGTTGGGCAAGGGGGTGTGGATCTGGAATTTCGTGGAGAAGATAAACTTGATGTGTGTGATGGTTAATTTTCATGGTCAGCCTGACTGGATATAGAATCACAGGGGAAGAGTGAGGTACATTTGTGAATGTGTTGGGAAGGACATTTCTGGAAAGGACTAACTGAGGTGGGATGTGGGTGGCACCATCCTGTGAGCTAGGAACTGGGTGGTCTGAAAAGAAAGCCAGCTAAGTGCTGGGGCTCCCCTGCTCTCTTCTTCCTCAACCCGGAGTGCAAAGCCACCCTCTCCTTCAGTCAGGCTCAGGCCATGGCACAGGGTACCAAGCAGCGATGGGTGGAACTCTCTAAAACTGAGTTCTCTTAAGTTGTTTCTTTCAGATACTTGGTTACAGCTACACTTGAGCAGCTGATACAAGGTGCTCTTCAGTCCTTTACTTTCCTGAGGGCTTATTTATTTAATGTGTTTGTACATGTGTGTACTTTTGGCATGAATGTGGAAACATGAAGATAATGTGCAGGGGTCAGCTCTTTCCTCACGTGTCAGGGTTGGCAAAAAGTACCTTTACCTGCTGAGCCATCTTGCTGCCCCCTTGAGAGTGTTTTTAAGGGATTTTTCCTACAAAAGCCTGAAATTCTGGCTTTTCACTGGCCAGTTGTTCCTCTGAGCCAGTAGCCCTTCTGAGGCGCCCCCAGGAGTGTGGTGAGGGACTGTCACTGACTAGAGCGATGCTGTGTGTAGTAGAGAGAAACAGAGGCCTGGCTGGCTCAGGCACTCAGTTGTCGGTCAAAGGTGTGCAGCTACAATCCATACCTTGCTCCCACGACCATGACAGTGTTATTGCCTGGCAACTGGAAATCCACTCTCCTGAGCCCAGTGTCCACCTTCAAGTCACACTGCTGTGTTTCCTTGTGGGGTGTCTTAGTACCTGGGCTTAGCGGGGGAAGCCCTCACACTTCGTGTCCTAGAGACATTGTGCAGTGAATAATCTTTGAGTTTGGAGGTTTCTGGAAAGGACTGTCCTTCTAAAAGAGGCAGGCCCTCACCCGGGGCAAAGAAGGGTTCTAAGGGAAGATGGAGGAGCAGTGTCACCCAGTGGCTGCCACATGAAGATGAATGGGGGTCCTGGAGGTGTTGAGTGAGACTGGTACCTCAGTGCAGGGATAAGGATGGTCTCCATACTGCTCAACCCTGTGGAGGGTTATCTGGCCCACAGGACTCTCATCATGGACAGGCAGCAAACCTCTGTGACCCTTGGCTTCCTGAATGCTGGCTTCTCTGTGACCCCAGGGTCAAGCTCTCTCAAGATCTTGGAGCAAGTGTACAATACAGGTTTGACCTATTGAGTCACCTCTGTGGATAGCACTGGAAACTCTCATAGCCCAGGACAAGATGTATGATGCCAGGCCTCATGTTATTTATGGTTTGGTCAAGTGTTGAAGATGAATGCTCAGAAAAGTCAGCTGAGTGGATCAGGGGCTCTCTTTTATTGCATCTCATGAACTTCCTGGATCCAGGCATTATGGAGAAAGGCCCCACAAGTTTTAAAAAGATACTTCTTTAGATGTTTACACAGCACGAAGCCTCTTACTTCTGGAAATGCAGAAAAGCAGACTATTTCCTCAGAGGTGTTTGTACCTTTGCTTTGCAGTTATAGCTGACTGGTTCAGGGTTCCTCAGGTATTTTGGATATCATCTTCTCTTTCTTAAAAAATAAAACAACAACAAAAAACAAAACAACAAAAACAAAACAAAATAAAACAACCAACCAAACACTAAATTCCAAGCAGTTCGAAGACTGGCATTGAGTGCTTTCTTGATCATCCAAATTAATTCCCCACCCTGCTACCTGACTTCTGTCCCTCTCTGACTACCACACTCACTTGGAAACAGCCATTTTCTTGCTTGTCTTTCCTCACTGCAATATTAAGCTCCCCGAGGCAAGGGCCTGGTCTGTCCTGTTCAGCACTGCAGCCCTGGCTGAGTAGGTCCCCAGGAAGTCATTTGTAGATTTTATGAAGGCTTAGTTTTTTAAGTAAAAGGCACTGGGGTAAAGAAGTAGGTGGGACTGGGATCCATGGAAAGGATCCTTCCCATAAGTTGTGGTTTGCTGCGGTGTGAATTTTAAGGGATCATGTGCTGGGAACCTAGTCTCCAGCATGCTGGTGGTGTTGAGAAGTGACAGTGTCTTTAAGGGGTTGGGGCCAGGGGGAGGTGTCATGCTGCCCCTCCCCCTCCCACTGGCTTCTTGTCTCACTTGTGATCTATCCTTCATCCAGGCACTCTAGCTAGCCATGGGTGTCATCCACCACTGAGGTGATGCAGACAAAAGGGTTGTTGTTGCAGCTGGTGCTGGGTTTGTGCCTTCTATCTCCCTCATCCAAGCAGCTCAGTATTACTTCAGGTTCTTCATCATAGTTGTGGCAAACTATGGCACAGTGTCTGTCTGCAGGGCCCCAACCCTCTGCTTGGGGCTCTTCTTTCCTTGGGCCCCGTATCTCAGGCTCCCCAGAACCTATCAATCTGTGTTCCCTATTTTCCAGGTTAGAAGGGAGTGACAGTGGCTGATGCTGACAAACAAGCCAACCAGGCCTTTTGCTTGGTGCCCAGACTGTGCTGAGCTCTTTGTGTGGCTTTCTAATGGCAGCCTCGCATGGAAGATACCATTCCCTCTGTGCACATGCGAGAGGAGAGGGAGGCTCAGAAACTAGGGATTCACAGAGCTGAGGTCTGCACGGGGGACTGTGCTTGGCATCCTGTATGCTTCTGTCCTCACTTGTCAGCACTGCTCCCCTTCTGAATCAACGGTGGCTACAACGATGGCAGCTTCAAGCTAGAGGGAGGAAAATGTCACCATGGGGCCAATGAAGGAGAAGCGCCAGGGATGGTGATCCTACCAAGTGTCGAGACACCCTTTTCCACCAGTGTGGACTTCACAGTTGACTTCAGAGAGAGGCGGTGTAGAAAGAGGCCCAAAGACAGAGACAGACTGCCAGTCTACATGCTGCTTGGTCTCAGTGAGAAAGGAGTGGCAAGGCAGAGAAGAGGTGGAGGGGCCAGAGGGCAGGGCGCCACGTTTCCAGGCCAGAAGGGGGTGACAACAACAGTGGCTGATGCTGACAAATGAGCCAACCAGGCCTTTGTTTGGTCATTTCTAGACTGGGCTGTGCTTTGCCCAGCCATGCAGAAGCAAGTTAGTTTTCAAGGGAGAAATATGTTTTCAACAGCTGAAACAAGGGGCTAGGGCTGCGGCTCAGTGGGCCCAGTGCTTGCGTAGCATGCACAAAGCCTTGGTTTGGATCCTCAGCTCCTAAGGTTTGGGTGTGGAGGTGGAGGCAGGAGGATCAGTTCTGTTATATAGAGAGTTCAAGGCCAGCTGGGATACTTGAGATGTCTAAAAGAGAAAAACAAAACAAAACAACAACAACAACAAAAACGTCGACACACTCAGTCACTGAAGTACTGACAACTAGTTCCCAGGAAATACAATAGACATCTCAGGATACCATTGTGCCCCTACCCACTTCCAGCTCTGTGGCTTAACCCTCACATCCTCTCTTCATTATTTGCCTCCTTCCTGTGTCTTTCTTCAATCTGTATCAATGACAGCCTGCCTTCCCCTCATTCAAACACAGCCAGGATGCATTTTGGATGAGCCTCTTGGATTCTGGGAATTCTGCAATGACTGATTGCAGGTAGCTCACAAAGAAAGTAAGAACTCAAGCTTCGCAATTCTTCCTCTCTGGAGGACTGATGCCATGCAGAGGCTGAGGATCATAAGAACAGACCCTGTTGGGAGTTAGAGGGTCACTGCCATCCACTCTCCCTGCCTGTGTGGTTTGAAGTCCATGGGTGTTGGCATTCCATCTTTCTTCTCTGTAAAATGAAGTGTGAAGCATTTATTGCTACTTTTCTTTCAGGATGATTTCTGTTATAAGCCAAAGCATCCCCTGGGTTAGCTCACACACCAGACTCACTCCAACCCAGGCTTTCTTGCTTGTTTTTAACCAATGCACTGAACTTCTACATATGGGGGTAAACATTGGTTCCTGCACAAAATAAGCAGCATAAAAATCACCCATTATTATGTATAAAGCATAGACTCAGTAATAAACACACAATGTGAAAACAGGGTAGTGCTCTGTTCAGGGGAAGGGGGAGAGATTGTTTTAAAAGGTTTAATAGGGTCACTACAATGACTGGGAAACATGAATCTGACCAGAGACGCATGTGATCTCAGGACTGGAACGGGGCCTTTGGAGTGTCCCAGGCCCCTCTGCCAGCCCTTCCAGGCAAGGCCACCCTGGCATGCTGGTTTTCTTTTTCAGATCCACTCATGCTTGCCCTCAGTGAGCTTCTGGTGGTCTTGGCTTATTTTCTGTTTTTTTTTTTTCCCCTCTAGGTTTGGCATTGCTGGCTCAACCAACGTGACAGGGGACCAGGTGAAGAAGCTGGATGTCCTTTCCAATGACCTGGTTATCAATATGCTGAAGTCATCCTTTTCTGCCTGTGTTCTTGTGTCTGAAGAAGATAAACACGCCATCATAATAGAGCCTGAGAAGAGGGTGGGTCTGTGTCTGCACTGTGGAAGGCTTGCATGTAGCTGTTTCCCTTCTTGGTTGCATGCAAGATTGTATTCACTTCTCCAAGCTAGATTTCTAGGGATTACCCAAGCTCCTTCTACTCAGTCCTCCTGTCATCCTAAACCTCTGAACTCTGTCCCAGAGGCTCCATTGATCCTGTTCTTCCCATTTCTCCAGGGTGTGTCTCCATTCCTGAGTGGTCACTGCTGTGTTTAGGTATCTTCAAAGTCTGGCTTCTGCTAACTGCCTCTTCGATATGACCAATTCCCAGCCCTCATGGTAGACCCACTGCCAAGCTGAATTGGCTCCACATTCCAGTGCCAGCTCAGGCGATGGGATTCCTTGGAGGTCAGATTGCTTTGTGAAGGCAGAGAACAAGAGACAGTCTGTGTGACGCAGCATCTAGCTCCAGCCTGGCATGCTGTAAAGCTCAATGACAGACATCTGGGGGTGCGGAATAACCGCTGGAGAAATGTTCAACATTGCAGAGAGGCTCGGGGACTTCGGACATGACATGCTACAGGAGAGAGTTTGTTCAGCTCTCATGAGACAGTGGCAGCTAGTAAAGCAAACCTGAGACTAGAAGCAGTTATTCTTACTGTCTTTCCTGGATGAAGGTGAGTTGGGGGCATGGAAGAGTAGCACTGGGAAAGAAAACCGGAAGCTGATTAAACATTCAGCTTGTGCTGACCTTAGGAAGGGGCAGGAGCCAGCTTAGAGTGACATGCTCTACAGTCCTTGTAGCAGATCGCCACATGCCACAGAAGTCCCCATCTTTCTGCAGTGTTGGCCAGTTCTCCAGCACCCCCCCCCTGCTGTGACATGCCATCATAGTGGCTGCAGTCTTATTTTCCAGTCTGCAGTTTCCTGCATCCATAGAAATGAACTGTTAAGAGCAAGCAGTCAAGGAGTCCTCTGAATCTGGGGCAGAACGTTAAACATCCCCCCACATCTAAAGAAGCTAATTGGAGATGGAAAATTCCCAGTGATGAGCTGGTAAGCTGGCTCCCCAGAAAAATTTCTCCAATTTGTTGTACTTAAAAAGCTCAAGGGTGTAAATGTTCAAAGGCTGGACTGTACACTTGGAGTCACTGACAGAGCTTGGAAGAGCCTGTCCAATGAGCTCGTGAGCTGGAGCTGGCCAGCCCAAGCATGCCACTGATGTTTTGCTCCCACCACAGCACAGGGCCATTTCTCTTAGGAGTCATATCAGGGATATTGTTGAGAAATCTGTGCACTACAATTTCACGTAGCACCTATCAAACTGAGTGACAAATGTCTTACAGACATAAGTGCTAAGGACATCTTCCCTTCCCCTAAGGCATTATTTCTTTGCCTTACAAGAAAGAGAAACAAATGACTACTTTTGTTTTTCTTTTTTTCCTTTGGCTGCCAGGACACTCCCAAACCAAAATTATGATTCAGTTATACCAGTGATGTAGGAAGCTGTGATTTAATTATCTGTGTTTTACCACTTACATACTTCCCACTCTAAATGATATTTTCTCTGCCTAACATTTAACTGTCTGTCTGTCCATCCATCTTCTCATATCCTTCACTGACAGAATATAAACAAATAAGACTTTATTTCCCACCTTGTCCTTTAGAGTTCATTCAGTGTATACTTACCTTGTTTGCATTTTGTTTTCTTCACCCAGGGTAAATATGTTGTCTGTTTTGATCCCCTCGACGGCTCATCCAACATTGACTGCCTTGTGTCAATTGGAACCATTTTTGGCATTTACAGAAAGGTAAAGTGTAGTGTACAAAGCCACTGGATTTTATCAGAAAATGAATGTGGAGCAGAAAGCTGGGGGCTTGAATAGATTCACAACAAGGTCTCATTGCCCTGCACATTCTGTGCATGAAAGATCCACAAAACAACTAAGATACAGTAATAAAATGCTGGTGGAAGAAGAGACCATTTCACTATTTCAGCCATATCTCTCTTTTACAAAGAAACTGAGATTTAAAAAATGTCAAGACAGATATAGTGACAACCTCCCCAAACCAGCCCAACCTGCCTTGTTTTCTTCTTTAAGCCAAAAGCTTTTTTAAAAAAAGTTATTTTCATACAATAAAGAAAACAAAACCAAACAAATCTTTCCCATGAGATGATTCACCCCTCTCTAGTCTAGTCTTCCTCTAGAAATTGGCAGCATCCTTAAAAACACATTTGATTTCCATAACTAAGGATGGAATTTTAAAAAGAATGGTTTATTTGCCCTTGTGAGGGAAAGGCTTTGTGAATGATCCCACCCATTCTGCTTGGCTTTCTCCTCCACCACCTCAATTGACGGTGTCCACTGTGTGCTCCTTATGGGGCGACATGGAATGATAGAACCTAATGCCTGTGACATTTGTGGCCTCTCAGGGAGGAGAAGAAAGACAATGCTCAGCAAGTGCTGGCTGTGCCCAGTGCTCTGTACTTGGCAATCCCAGGCAGCTGTGAGGGCGTAAGCTGGACTTCCAGGGGAAAGGTGTTCATTGCTCTGACTTTTCAGGAGAAAATGCAATCAGGAAGGATTAGGGTTGGCCAGGAGAGGAACTTCTGATCCAGAGATTCTTCTGAGTATGTGAACATTGCAGAGAAGTGGTCAAATTCCTCATTTCAAGGGCACAGAAGAGTATAAGGGTGTTGGGTATCGCCCCATCTTTGTGTCACTGACTTCCAGGGAAGAAGGTTACTGTTAAGATAACCCTGGCAAGCAATCCAAACTGACAAAGGGTGTTCATTTTCTTTTAGTGACATGTGGACCAAATTTGCCATTTAGGGAAATCAACTAAAAAATTTTGTTTCTTTTTCTCACCAACTGCCCAGCCTCTAGTAGCCCTTATTCCCTCTCAGGTTCTGAAAGGCCAGCTTTAAAATGTGCCTCTTACTCTGGGTCGTGGGGGAGAAACGTCAGCAGCATCTGGCCTGTCCTCTAATGACTCCAGAGAGATGCCACAAACTGTATTTCTGAGAATTTCTTTGATGTGGGAGTAACTGACCACACTGCTCAGTGAGTGTGTGTTTCTATTGACTGACAGAAGCACACAGAATCAATTTTCCCCTGAGACATTCAGCCCTGCAGCCCTGTGCTAATCTGTTTAAATAACGATGGAAGAAGCAGGTGAAGACAGAGGCCTGTAATCAGGTTTCATTAGTGGAGCTGGTGAGAAGGCGTACTGCTTTTTAGAAGTGATAATGGAGACATGAGGGAATATTACATTAGGAAGATGTGAAGGGGATGTTGATTGGAAAGAAGGATCCTGATGCAGGAAGCTGGGCTGTGGTAGTGATGCAATCAGAATGCTACTTTTGTGCAAAGGGAGGCAACCTCGGGGAGCTGCTCGCTTTCCTTAGCAGTGGGTCTCAACCTGTGGGTCAAGACCCTTTTGTGGGTTGAGTATTGGATATCCTGCATATCAGATGTTTACATTAGGATTCATAACAGTAGCAAAATTACAGTCACGTAGTAACAATGAAAGTAATTTTACAGTTGGGTGGTCACTATGACATGAGGAACTGTGTTAAAGGGTCACGGCATTAGGAAGGTTGAGACTCACGGCATTAGAGGAATATGCTGCCATGCATCCGGTTGATGGCTGGACTGGAGAAAAGGACCACAAACCAAAATGAAAATATGTTTTGTTTTCTCTTTTGCTTTAGAAATCTACTAATGAGCCTTCTGAGAAGGATGCTCTGCAGTCGGGCCGGGACCTGGTGGCAGCTGGCTATGCACTCTATGGCAGTGCCACCATGCTGGTCCTTGCCATGGATTGTGGTGTCAACTGTTTCATGCTGGACCCGGTGAGACATCTCTTAGGTTGAGTGTTTGGCTGGTAGCTTTGACCTTGTGCATGGTGTGTGTGTGTGTGTGTGTGTGTGTGTGTGTGTGTGTGTGTGTGTGTGTGTGTCCCAAGTGTGTGGTGCCCTTGGAGGTCAGAAGAAGATGTTGAATCTCCTGGAGCTGGAGTTGCAGGTGGTTGGGAGCCATTCAACATGGGTGCTGCAAATCTGTCCTGAGTCCTCTGGGAGAGCAGCAGTGCTGAACCATCTCTCCAGGCCCGCTTTCTGTCTTTTTTCTTTCTTTCTTTCTTTCTTTCTTTCTTTCTTTCTTTCTTTCTTTCTTTCTTTCTTTCTTTCTTTCTTTCTTTCTTTCTCTCTCTCTCTCTCTCTCTCTCTCTCTCTCTCTCTCTCTTTCTTTCTTTCTTTCGTTTTTTGTTTTTGTTTTTTACAAACAAAAACAAACCATACACACACAAGGTACAAAGCACAGCATGGTGTCCTCTGTGAAAGGCAGTTCACTCTTGAAAGGACTGTGGGAGTGTGTATGGGGTGTGGCAAATCTGCTGTAAATCAGAACATTGGCTACCTTTGATCCTTAACACAACTGCACTTTCACCTCCCTGGGAGCGTGGGCACTTAATAAATAAACTAAGACTGGAGTGGAGGGTGACAGTACAAGTCAAAAGTCTCTGCATGAGGCCTCAGGGGAAAATAAGACAGGTTCAGAGCAAAGTTTAATCTGAGAGAAGGGTACAGCTTCTGAAAGCAGTGATGTTTGCTGACATATCTTAATCTCCTCATCCTCCTGCCTCAGCCTCTCTAGTATTGGGATTAGAGTTGAACCCTCTCATGTCTGGCCTTAAAAGCTTTCTTTCTTGTTGTATGGAAATCATTGGCGCTCTTCAACCCCGGCACCCTTTTCCTCCCTCCATCCTTCTCACCACTGGAGACTTTGGCTGCAGTCACTGCACTGGGATGAGGTGTGGTCACAGTCCATGCTTTGTTCATGCCTGGAGGAGCTTGCTGGTCATCTGTCTACTTTTCTCCCTTGTTTCAAAGGCCATTGGAGAATTCATTATGGTGGATAAGGATGTGAAGATCAAGAAGAAAGGTAACATCTACAGCATTAATGAGGGCTATGCCAAGGACTTTGACCCTGCCATCGCGGAGTATGTCCAAAGGAAAAAGTTCCCTCCAGTGAGTGAGTAGGCAGGTGGGACTGATGTGGTGTTCATCTTTGGGAGGAATGTCCTTGAGAGGAAAAGGGACTTGGCATTGAGAAAGGCCTGGACTTCATCTGGGACTCTTGCTTTATGAGTAAATCTACTGATGTAAATTATCCTGGAGTTGAAAGGAGAGAGAGGTGGAAATCATGGAACCTAGGTGTTGGGGCTGGAGTGCTTGCTTGGGGACACCAAAATTGGAATATTATTTAGTCTTTATCTCCAAGCATAATCTAGACAATAAAGTCAACCAGATGAGCTCCTTTACAACAATAAAACATTTGTATTTCTGGGGCCCCTGGACCCCAAGCACTTACCACATGAGGTTTGTACCTTCAGGCTTATGTTCTTGATGAATTTCTGTCTGCTGTATTAGGATGGTTGGTGTCAGGCAGGGGAGATGGTTCAATGGCAAAGTGCTTGCTTCACAAGTATGAGGACTAGAGATTGGCCCCCCAGGTCCAGCTTACAGTAGGCCTGCTTGTCATACAGGGTAGGGAGGCAGAGAAGGGATCGCCTGAGCAAGCAGTAAGCTAGGACAGCCAAATCAGAAGCTCTGGGTTCACGTGAAAGACTGGGTCTCAATATATAAGGTGGAGAGTGATGGAAGAAGACACCAGACATCAACCTCTAGCTTAAACCCATGCACATACAAACGTGTACACAACTGCATGCATACCATCACACACACACACACACACACACACACACACACACACACACACACACACACACGATGGACAGTGTCTACTTTAGTATCTCACTACAGAGGTTACTAGTTAGTGAATATGAGGAAGAAAAATGGCTGATTGTCCAGGGGGCTCTATAGGGGTGTTTGATTTTGCCTTACCATTGCTGCCCTTTCCGGAGGATGAAGCCCACATATTAACATGGCAATCAGGGTTCTCAAAGACAGCCCCAGGCTTTCTCAATAGCATGATTTTCTCTCTTTTCCCATACACAATCCCTACACACATACATGCTGGCATGCCCTGTGGCAACAGCACTTACCTCTATGCTGTTGAGCCCTTACTTGTACCAAGTCCTCTCCCACAAAACATATAACTCTGCATATGCCTTGTTCTTTAGTTTGACAAAATCTTTGTCAACCTTCAAGTTAAATTTTTTCATATTGCATGTTCCAACCTCACAGCCAGAACCAATCACACTCTTCTTGAGACTACTGCTGGAAGGTGGACTGCTGGAGATATTCAGGAGGTCATGTGCCCACGACTTCCCTTCTTCTTCTTCCCTGGAATGGCGTTGTCTTACAGTTTACTATTGCTGTGAAGACACACCATGATCATGGCAACTCTTACAGAGAAAATATTTAATTGAGGTGGCTTACTTACAGTTCAGAGGTTCAGTCCATCATGGTGGGGAGCATGCAGGCAGTGACACACTTCCAATTGAGCATGTGACCCAGATTAAAGGTGTGCCCTTCAGCCTCAAGGTCTGGATTAAAGGCATGTGTCACCAGCCTCCGCATATAAGACCACATTTCCTCCAACAAGGGCACACTTCCTAATAGTGCCATTCCCTATGAGCTTATGGGGGCGAAATACATTTAAACTACCACAGGGATTTTCATTTCATGTCTTAGCTCAGCTTCAAGTGAGCATTTTGTAAGATACTTGGTAAATGACTGTGGAATGGAATAAGCATCAGGGGGGACACTAAGAGTACACCCTTTATCTTCCATAGCTCTAATTTTTTGCTGCTCTTAACCTTGTAGGATAATTCAGCTCCCTATGGTGCCCGATATGTGGGATCCATGGTGGCTGATGTTCACCGAACTCTGGTGTATGGAGGGATCTTTTTATATCCTGCCAACAAGAAAAGCCCCAATGGAAAGGTATGTATATCCCCAAGGAAGTGAGCAAGAAGCAGCAGGTTTTGTTTCCAGCCTGGGGATATGATTTCCTTAGGTAGAAAGGTCATAGAGCTGATGAACTCTCCTGTGGTTGCTTAAATGTCTGTAACAGTCTCTAGATTTGAGGCAAGGCCCAGACTGTATCAACTAAATGTGAAAATGTCTCATGAGGGTCCTTTCAAAGCTATGGCAAAAGAGAATTAATGAAACTCCAACAGGGGACTAAAAGCGCTCAAAGCTTCCAGGGGGCATGGGTTTGGTTTGCACAGAATGGGTTCCATTCATAGAGAGAAATGAAATAGTCCTGTCTCATTACCAAGATAACAAATCAAATATGCATTGCTGAGAGGGGTCTGCTTTGATGGCTCCCAAAAGACATAAAATAGATGTAGCTAATGAGCTTGACATTCGCTACTTGGAAAGCGATGTTGTCTGATGAGGGACAAGGCTGTGGGGAAACCCAGAGCTTCCAGGTGGATTTTTCCACTGACTACACTGGCCATGTTATGGCCAGCTCTCCAGCAAGTCACAGGGCTGGTGTGCCTTCTAATGCTGGCTAGGGGGCATCCTTTGCGTCTTCACGCAAGGCAACAAAAGGCTTCCTTTTCAGGTATTCTGTCTTCTTCCCCACCTCTTTTGTTTTTTTGGGACAGTCTCATGTGAGTCAGGCTGTGTAGCCAAAGGTGACTTTGAACTCCTGATCCTCCTTCATCCATCTTCCTAAGGCTGGGGGGTGTGAACCACCATGCTGGGTTTTACATAGTACTACTATCAAATTCAGGGTTCTGTGTATGCTAGATACGCACTCTTAGCAACTGAGCTACATCCCCAGCACCTCTTTTTTATATGAAAGAAGAAATAGGAGGAACAGTGCCCTTAAGATGTCAGGAACTGAGATTGTGGGTTTCATGGGTCTGTTCACGGCTCATGGTGTCTGCTTCACTGAAAGGAAATTTCTTTGTTCTTTTAGCACACCTGTCTTGCTGTAACAGTCCAGAAGTATTCAGCCAACTTGCTTTATTGCACTTTTCTCAAGTGATTCACTTTCTTTTTCTTTGACAGAAATGTGGAGGTGCCTCCCTTTTTCAAGTTTTCAAGTCTGGCCCTGATTCCCATATGGAAACAGAGTCAGGAAATACTAGCACAGTCTGTCTGCTCTACAGGCCAACTGCATGAAAATGTGCTCAATAAAAAAATTACTATTCACAAGCAAACATCAAGATATGTGGCAGACAGAATCCCAACCCTAGAGCATTAGGAGGCTTTCAAGAGGAATGTACAGGGCTGTGGACAATAGTACACTGTTTGGAGGAGCCAGTCTGCCTTCCAGATGTCTGCAGCCAGACACCACTGTGGATTTTTAAAAATGCCTTTAAAACAGACAGAGCTCCATCCAACACACACGGAATCACTCATTAAGTCCAGTCTCTGGCTATAAAGAGTTGGGAACTGTTAGTACTGCCAAAATGTCACTCTGTCCCAAATCCAGGTGGTCTGCCTTATGTTTGCATCAGGTGGCTGGCTAGCTCTGGCTCCATGAATGGTTTTATTCAACCAAATAGCTAATGGTTTTGTCTCAGATGCATTGTGGGAGCACTGAGGGAACTTTCCTAATTGAGAAGGAGAGAGGGAGAGAGTATCAGTTACTATGGAAACTCCCACCAGCTCTGCAGAGCTTTACCACAGAACAAATTCCCCCACCCTGATGCGAACACCTTCTAGCTGAAGACCTTGGTCTCTGGTCTTGTTTTCCAGCTGAGGCTGCTGTATGAGTGTAATCCTATGGCTTTTGTCATGGAGAAGGCAGGAGGACTTGCTACCACAGGAAAGGAAGCTATATTAGACATCATTCCCACTGACATCCACCAGAAGGCACCAGTCATCATGGGGTCTCCTGAAGATGTACAGGAATTCCTGGAGATCTACAAGAAGCATGCGGCCAAGTGAAGGCTGGCTTTGCTCTTGCCTCAAAGCAGAGCCTTTTATCTGGACTTGCAACCTCAAGTGGCACTACCCCATTCTGACTGTGTGTTGTATATTCCTAGACAACAGACCTAACAGTGTGGGTAGTTTCACAGTTCAATGCTTTGCAATGCCCAGGACTGCCTCACCCACATGCCATAATGCCACTGTAACAGGTAATATGTATTTTGAGGAGGAGAAATAAACACATTCTTCCTTTATATTTTTTGCACTTTGTGTCAACAGAATATTAGACAAATCATCTAATCTCCACAACAGCTGCATAAGTGTAATGCTATGTTGAGTTCATTTTATCTATGATGAAATGGAGAACTGAGGGTTGATGAAATCTGGTAAAGGTCTCTAGCCAGTGGGTGGTAGGCAGGGCTGGGAGATGAACCCAGGCATCCTGGTCACTAAACTCAGTTAATGTCACTTCTTATATGTGCAGTCCTGTTCAGTTTTGGCTGTCTCTGCCCTTCTAGAAATTAATGAATATCTGGCTTCTCAGCCTCCTGCAGGTATCTATAATGACCCAAGATAAAATGACAGTTTATGATACTATTCAATGGTATTTTTTATGCAAGAATGGCATTGAACAACAAAGCTGTATAATTTCTAGGGAGGGTCTGGTTGTCATATTGCAAATGATTGACCATAAGAGCTAAATTTATGGAAGTAAGCTGTGTGCCAAGCAGATGCTTTTTGGGTCAAGGGGCTTTCCTGAGAGGACCTGCCACAGCTGGTCCTATGCAGATGGAGCGTAGTGAGAAATACACCCGTTTGGCCCACAGTCTATTCTGCACATGCTTCATCCCTTTCTGGATCAGAAGATCAAGATCATGGTAAGTTATGTCAGGTGTTAGGAATTCTGTATCCTGTGTGAGCTCGCTCTCTCTCTCTCTCTCTCTCTGTGTGTGTGTGTGTAAAATGTGCTTTTTTCACATGTGAATGCTCCACCAATTCCATGTTCTTAGGAAACTTGGTTCAATCACAAGCCTTGGATTTGCTTTTGTTTGTTGACCAAACTGCCTGGTATCGTTGGATTGAGATGTGGGTTCAATTAATGGAATGCTTTTCAAGAATGCTTATTTGTATGCTCTGAGTACCTCCAAGTTTTTCTCTGTATGTAGCCCTGAGCCAGGAACAGGATCGAGAGCAATAACAGCACAAATATCACTTCTCTTCTGGTCACTCTTAGATTCAGTCCTGGAGGTTTTTAGATGCTGTCCTTGGACAGACGAGGTGATGGGACACACTCACTATCACATGAAAATAAACGAGACATGGTTTCTACAGAGTGGTCTTGCCCTGAAGTAGGGCTTCCTTCTACTATCAAACACATAGCATCTCCTCCCCTCACATAGCAGGCTGCCAGGTCTCTCTGCCGACTTCTTTAGTGTCAGCAGAAGCAGGAAGTATCAAGAGACTCCATTCCCCACCCACTTGGTTTGTTCTTGGAGTTTTCATAGCTCTGCCTCTCACCTTCCAACTTAAATCACACAGGAAACCAGCAGTGGGTGCATCACCGTGTATGTGAGAGGGAATCCTTCAGATTGACTGGAAGCAATTTCTGCTTTGTCTTTGACAAGGGCAGGTTACACACAGGGCCTTGGATGAAACAGGTCAGGCAGGGCAGAGACGGAAGCTTCACTTTAGCACCATTAGCTCTCAAAGCCCTCGGAGTAAGTGCAGCTTGATCCTCAGCCTCGGGTGTGGGAATCATTTCAAGATGCCTGTAGTTGGTTCACTGGTTCCCTCTGGGAAGACACATTCACATTCAAATCTCCAGGATAGGCTGATATGACCTTATTTGAATAAAGGGTCTCTGCAGGTGTGATGAAGCTCAAGATTTTGAGATGGGTTCATCTTGGACCCCATGGGTGGGCCCTATAAGATCACATAGAAGGCCATGTGTATTAGTCAGTTCTCTAAAGGAACAAAACAGATTGTGTGCATGTGCGTGAGTGCACGTGTGTGTGTGTGTGTGTGTGTGTGTGTGTGTGTGTGTGTGCGTGTGTATGTGCACACACATGCACACGCACACATATGCATGCATACATGCACACACACATTCGTACACACACACACACACACACACACACACACACACACACACGCGCGCGCGCGTGCGCGCGTGCACACACGCACGGCGTTATAGGAGGGGCTTCCAGGCCACAGCCTGTAGTTCAATAATGGCTGTCTCCAACGGAAAGGCTAAAGAATGAGTTGTTCTGTCAATGAGACAGGAGGTCTCAGCTGTCCCAGTCTGGTGCTGGAGGTTCATTTGTCCTGATCCACTTAGACTTGTGAGTGTTTTCCAGGGAACACAACCAGGTCACCAATAACTCTGTCACTAATATGTTGGCAGTCCTGAAATACCTGTGAGGGGCAGCTGTCACCCCGCCTCTGGACTGTCACCACGGCTGCTCTAAGTTTACACTCTGTCATGTGCCCCAAAAAACTTTGCCATTTGCAAAGGTCAGGAACTGCCGTCACAGACCATGTAGGCAACTTGAACTTGTACCATTGAAATGCAGCTGTTCTCTCACTGAGCACAGTGCTTACTGATTTGATTAGACTTGCTGGCCAGCAAGGCCCCGTTGCTCCTGCTTCCTCCCCAGAGCTGGGATTACAGGTATACTCCAATATGTCTGGTTTTTAACATAGGTCCTGAAGAATCCAAACTCAGGTCCTCAGGCCTATGGCAAGCACTTTACTAATTAATCCAATCATCCAGCCATCCCTCCAGCCCCAGAATGAAGCTTTGAAAGGGACCTTTGACTACTTGAGAGGATGTCACAGCTACAGACTGGCAAATCCATGATCTTTGAGAAAAACAAAATTAAAAAAAAAACACATGCACAAATTACTCTGAATTTTCAATGACTTGTAGCTAAACACAGTTTAATGAAATAATTATCAATGGAAGATATAAAATTGTAGGGCAATGTACAAGCCCTCAGTTTTGTTTATTTATTTACTTGATATAGAATCTTGATATTTTACCCAGACTTGGCACTCTCCTAACTCAGCTCTCCAAGTGGGTGGAGATAACTGACATTGTTTACATATATGCTTGTGGTTCTAAGTACACTGAAAAGCTGCAAGGGCACAGGTTTCTAAGACACTGAGCATGGCACCAGGCCTGCTGACTGATTTTCAATCCTTATAGCCACTCTACAAGTTGTCATCTGAATTTATGAGGAAACTGAGGTTTCAAGAGTTTAGCAATACTCCCAAATTATCCATACAGCAGGTAGCCAGCTTAGGACGCAGAGACAGGTCTGTCTACAGTCACAGAAATATCATGTAAACAGAATGCTGCCAGATGCACACACAGTTCATTCTAGGGCACTTTAAAAAAGTATTTCTTTAAACATTTTTCATTAGATCATTTTATGCATATGAGTGTTCTGCCTGCATGTATGTATGCCTACCACTTACATGCTTGGTGCCCTTGGAAGTCAGAATAGGATACTGGATACCCTAGAACTGGAGTTACAGATGGTTGTGAGCCACCAAACTGGGTGCTAGGAATCAAACCCAGATCCTCTGCAAGAGCAGCCAGTGCTCTTCACAGCCGAGGCATCTCTCCAGCCCTGATATTTCTTTTTAGATAGAGAAATATTTTTAAAGTAAAAATAAAAATCCAGCTAAACTAATAAATCAACCCTGGGACTAGACACTTTGCTAGGAATGTCATATTTATATTCCAGGTTTGGGTACCTCCCACGGACATCCCCCTTGCCATACATGCTTAACGGAAATAAACCCGAAGGAACCTTTGTACAGTCATCCTGGGATTGCCATTAGTTATGTGACCTATGCCCTAAATAAGGTATCTGCCAATCTGCCATCTGAGACGAACAATGAGGCCCTGTGGCAGCTGTCTGCAGAGAACACTTTTGTGTCCACATAAGAAGATTTTGTGGGCCATTTTTATTACCTGTTTTTCTTTCCTCTCACCTGCGGCTGATCGTGGCTTCTTGGGACCTTCAAAAACAGGAGCTCAAGCAGAGAACGAGGCGGCCCTTCCCAGCAGCGCTGCTCTATTTACAGCCTGCTTATTGCGCCTTGGCAGCTGCCACCATCAGGGAGGCTAGGGAGGTTTCCTTGAGGGCTTGCCCAGCTATCTGAGTCACGTGGGCTGGGGCCCTTTTCCCTTGGGCCCTGGCCCAGTCAGCAGGGCCGTCTCTTCAGCGTGCAGGAGGTGAGGCTGCTGCCCCAAGAAAGCAAGGATTCCTGTAAGCAGGAAAAGAGGCTCTGAGTTCTCACCTGCCACAATGACGGACAGAAGCCCCTTTGAGACAGACATGCTCACCCTGACCCGCTACGTTATGGAAAAAGGGCGACAGGCCAAAGGGACCGGGGAGCTCACACAGCTGCTCAACTCGATGCTGACTGCCATCAAAGCCATCTCCTCGGCTGTGCGCAAGGCGGGCCTGGCCAACCTGTGAGTCCTGGAGAGCATGCACAGGCACTTTTGCCCAGAGCCCTAGGCCCAGGTCAGAGTGTGGGAGCCACCGGTGCTTGCGGTAGAACCCAGGTCCAAAGCTGATTTGCCTTTTGTGCCCTAAGGATACTGCATTTAAGTCCTTTGTGTCTGCTTTGATAAGACAGACTTTGGTCCAAAGCTGATTTGCCTTTTGTGCTCTAAGGATACTGCATTTAAGTCTTTGTGTCTGCTTTGATAAGACAGACTTTGGCATATTTTGCTAGAAAAGGGGGAAAAAAAACGCTTAGTGGCAAACTATGGAGAGAAGTGAGATTTTTTTCCCATTACCACTGACTATAATGGTAACACAATGGCTTATTGCCTCAAAACCTATATTGAATTGTCATGACTTATATTTTGCACCAACAGATTCTTACTGGGACTTTAAAATGTGTTTAATGCTATTTTCCTATATAAGGGTTTGGTTGTCATGACTTCTGCCAGTAGGGTGGGGGTAGAAATCACCAGAACACAGATTACGGGACCCTGCCTGTTATGGAAGGAACCTGTTCTCTTCATCTTCACGTGGTTTGTGGGAATTTGGACATGCTGGGCTGGGGCAGGCAGAGCAGAGTGCCTTCGATTGGTTCTCTTTTGCAGAATGAGGTGCATTCATGCTGGAGCTGCTGGTGGCCATAGCCAGGGGTCTGGTTTTAAACCACGATGAAAAGAAATCACCTTCCTTTAGACTTCCATTTTGATTGCAGTTATTCCAATGAAGGCCCCCTTGGAAGGTGAATGGACCTACACGTTTTGGGAGGGTGGGGTGGGAAAAAACCCAAAAGGAGAGCCAACAAATTCCGCCCATTTGAATATTTATTCTTAACAGTGTGGTACCTTTAACCCCAAACTGTGACAGCATTCATATTATAAATGCAGTCATAAAACCATTAAAGAGCTTGTTATAAGAGTGTCAAGGACTAGTAGTGGGATCCACATTGAAGATGCTTGTCTGCTTCTCTTGCCCATGAATTCGATTAATGGTATTATTATCTCATTTGGCAGAATGGCCAAGCTCTGCCTTTAAGAACACGATTCCAGAATTTGAGGTGCCTACATGTGTGACGATCACCCTGAGTGACATTAGATAGCATCTTTGCCTCTCCTGTGTCCCAACTCTGCTATAATTAGGGCGGTTGCCTGTGACCAGTCAGGACTTTTGCCCACACTTTTACCTTTCTTCTGTGCAGGCCTCTCAGCCTCTCAGCTCCACAGCTGCTGTCTTGGGAGAGCTCTTATATATCTGCTACAAACTGCTTCTCAGTGATTCCCTGTCCGACCAAGGGGTCTTAGGGACTAGATAATTAAGTGCTTTATTTAACTTGGTTTTCCTTACCCTGTGGCTGTGAACAATGGTTTATTCTTGCTAAGACCTCC